GGTGCAGCAGGTGGGGAAGAGAGGGTGGGGCCTGCTTTCAGTCTAGTTACTGCTCTGGTGGCTAAGCATTTACTTCCATGGCTTTCACGTGGGTGGGTTGGCCTCCTTATCTGGGCCTTGCCCTTCCTGGTCCGAAGAGGCCCTGAGTCTGTGGTGGGTCCCCACAGCCCCTGGGTGTGTGCAGGTGGAGAGGGAGAGCCAGAGTGGGCTTTGCACACCGCCCCCACATCTGCAGCGCCTGTTGAGCTCAGCGGCATGAGAATCAGAGCTGTAGAGAAATGTGATTTTTTGGTTGCTATGGTTACTCATTGGGCCATTTTTCTGGAACTCTGCTGGGAACTAAAGCGGCTTAGGAATTGGTAAGGGCTGCTCATTGTGAGGCACGGTTGGGCCATCCAGCTCCAGCGCCCTTCACAGGGAGGAGCTGCTGCTTCCCTGAGGAAACCCTCTGGCCCCATGGTTCCTCTAAGTGCTTGGCCAGGGTACAGGGAGCAAGTGGGGCTTTGGTTGTGGTTCTTTTTGCTCAGTATTTCACCAAGTAGCCTTTAGCCAGGTGGTATTAGCTTCCTGATTGGGCAGGAAGGAAAGACCAGTGGTTTCTGGAAGGCAGAGGGAAGCTGTAGCTATGCTTGCCCGTCTTTTGCATGGCTGTTTCTCTGTGGCCCAACATCCCCCCACCCCCAGGCCTGGAAGGAGCCATGGGGCCGTCCTGTGGATGGAATACCACCTGACCCCGGACAGCACTGTCAGCACCGGCCTCCTGAAGCCTCCAGACGACAAGGTAGTGCTGTGTACCTGAGTCCCAGAGCAGGCCAAGCCCGCGAGCTGGCACTCCTCTGGGTATCCCTGGCATAGGCAGCCAGATCGCGACTCCTCCGTGGCCCAGGTCACCTGGGCCCGAGCAGCAGCTTCTCGTGGCGAGTGGCCCCGGGCTGGAGGCTGACCAGGAGGGGGTTCCGGTGCCAGGAGCCCTCACTATCTTCTGGTTGCTTCTACAGGGGGACTGTTGCTGGAACCCGCACTACAAGCAGGCTGTGTACTTCTTCACCAGCCCGGACTACGGGGTCCCGCGGGGCGGCCCTTGGACCGTCAGCTACACCCTGGAGTTCCACCCCCACACTGGAGACATCAGCATGGATTTCACACTCTCAGACACCCTGGAGGACGGGTGCTGACCCTCACTTGTTGAGAAATAAAGTGGCCTGAGGGCTCTGGGCTCTGAATGGTGTGAAGGCCCCTCTCTTTTCAGGGCCCAGTTGAATCTCTGGGCTCTAAGGAGCCCTCTTCCCTTTTTGCATTTTTGCACCGCCAGTTCCTTGCTTTGGGTGTGACAGGCAGCACATCTGCTGACGGAATTTGGAGCTGAGGAGGGGCCAGGGAGCCCTCCCTGCTGTGGGTCTGAAACACTCCAGAAGCTCTCATGTGGCAGTGTCCCTGTGCTGTGCTGGGAGTGGGCTGGGTGGCCTGTGTGCTCTCAGCTGTGAAGAGCGTGGGTGGTTGGGCTGCCCCTGTGGGAGAGGCCTTGCCTATACTCAGGAACTCTGGTCCCTCCTGCCTGGCTCCAGCTGGGAGTGGCTCCTAGAGGCAGAGCTGCTGACTTGTGGCTGGGCCCTGGGCCTGAAAGACCTTGGCAGGGCCATCCTTGTGTGTTGGGTGACGTTACCTGGATATACCCGTAAGCGTCTGGCCTCAATACACAGCATCAGCAGGTGAGTGGGACTTGACACCTGGACATCCGACTGCTGCTCAGAGGATAGGGAAGAGGTGGTCTCAAAGCATTTCCTGAGATGCAGACCTGGGAAACCAGCCATCAGGAGGAAGAGCCAGGAGGTAAAGCCTTTTCCTGTGTGCCCCCATTCTGGCAGAAGGACCCCCTGCCAACTACGAGGCCTGGGCTGATAGGTACCGTGTAGCCACCCCACCCCAGCCTGGCCCCCTTGCTTTGCAGCGGAAGACCAGAGTGTCCTGAGGCAGTTCCAGCCTTGCTTCTCCCCAACTCGAGGTGCCCTTCGTTCTTTATTCCCACTCCAGATGGAATAGGAGATAGTAGGAACCCAGGTGGCCTGGTTTTCTGGCAGTTCGGGGCAGACTTAGCCTGTTCCCGTGCTGCTTGGGGGAGGGGGGGAAGGCAGGAAAGGTGGGCCGCCCATAGCCTGGCCCCAGCTTGTCGCTCAAATAAGAGAACACCAGCCTTGAGCCTCACAGTTTTATTTTCTTATTATCTATCCTTCCGTTCAGCACCAATAAAGGGAAAAAACACCTCTCTTTTCAAAATATTTTATCAGGTGTAAAGATTGTTTTTCTTCTAGGGAAGAATCGTCTGGATATATATTTGATAATATTTTTACCAAAACCTTAGGTGTGCTTACCATATAAAACCCCTAATGTCCCATGAGGATACAATACAGAAAAAAATACAGAAATTAAAAAATTGTTTTTTTTTTCTTTTTTTAAAACAGTATTTCTAAATCTCAGCAAGTTAATACAATAGTTAAAAAGCATCAAGGTTAATATTCATACTTAAAACTCAAGGTGGTTTGGACAAATGGAAATGACCGTTTCCTTTCGAAGCTGACCCCTGCCTCCTGGCTTCTGTGGAGGAGGCCAGGCCTGGGGCAGGCGTGGGGCCGTGGGTGGGGATTTGGATGACCCCTGTGTCCACCCCTCCTAGGCCTAGATGCCACAGAATCTGAGATCCTGATAGTGTTTTCTTTCTTTTTTTAAAAAAAATCACACTGGAAAAGTCTGGCTTGTGCATGGTCCTAGGATCCCACAGCCGTCACGAAACGTGTGGTCGGCAGTGGTGGCCTCAGCAATGAGGCTGTGCCAGAGGGAAGCGCGAGGGGGCATGGGATGCAGGCTGGCCTGGCTCCAGATGCCAGGGCCAGGCTGGGCAGAGGCGACCTCATTAGGACAGGAAATGACCGAGGCACAGGGAGGTATGACTTGCCTAAGGCCGCCCTGTGAGGAGGGAGAGAAGCAGGTGCCCCTGTGCCGCGGCTCTCTCGTAGAGCTGCCCTGGGTGGGAGGTGGCTCCTCGGAGGGTTGGAGGCGGGGCTGGCATTTCTCAGCTGCAGGAATCCTGGCCTCTGTCTCTCCTGTTCTCCTGGACATAGCTGACTCGAGGCCTGGAGGCCATGGCTCAGTCCCAGCCAGCCAGGCGTTGAGCGTGTTCAGTTGGGCCCTGCCTTTGTGAGCAGAGCTTCTTGGCTGCTCCTGGGAGTGGGGTCCCCTCTGACTCCACGGAGCCTCGCCCAGGACCTTGGAGGCCAGGCTCTCGGAGGGAGAGAACCCTGGTGGGACTGCGCTCAGCGGTGAGCAGGCCCTCCTGGCTCTGCACTCGGGGTGGGGCTGGGGGCTTAGGGAATGAACGCTCCTTGCAGCGAGGCCCTCAGCCCAGACACTGCCCGGGACAAACCAGTGCCCCCATGTGTGTGGTTCTCTGGATTGTCTTCCTCAAGCACAGGGCCTGCCTCTGGGTGGTGGTCTGCTCACCGCCCCCCCCCAACCCCCATCTGGGTCCCTCTTGCAGCTCAAGTGGGTGACAAGGCACAGCGTCCGCACACTGGCACCAAGAGGCTTCTAGTATTTGAAGGGTCCTGGTGCACTCCCCAGCCTCGCTGGGCAGATCTGGCTCTGAGCCAAGTGGGCACAAGGTCAGGGCGCTTCAAGGAGGGGAGACCAGTGGGGGTTGACAAGAACAGTCTTCCGAGTTGGAGGGTCCTTGCACTGGGAATCAGACTCCTCCCTCCCTTGCTTGACTGTGGGGAACAATCCCGGGTGTGTTTTAAAAGGCAGGTGGGCAGAGGCAGGGCTGCTGTGGAGTGGGGAGCTGCGGACCTCCCCTGCGTGCTCTGCCATGTCCTGCCCGGGCACCCAGGGCTGGCCCTGGTCCCGTGGTGGCAGAGGGAGCATCTGTGGGCCTAGATGCCAACCAGTACCGTGCGCTGCCCCAGGCAAGCAGTGGCCCTTGGCCTTCACCCCCAGCCTCCACACTGCTGAGGGGGAGGGGACAGGCCAGTCTGCACCTGGGCTTTCTGCCTCTTCTTCCAGGGCCCCTGGGTTACCTTTCAGGATGGGCCTGGGAGGACAGAGCTGCAGCCTCACCCCAGAGGCAGGCAGACAGTTCCTGAGCTCAGCCAGGGAAAGCTTGGTCCCAAACCAGAGAGGTGTCCAGAAGGGAAATGGGATCAGGAAGAAAAAGGTTGTGTTGGTTTTGACAGAAGAGAAGCCATAAATTGATCATTTGGAATACCTGAAGCCCCCCCACCCACCCTTTTATAGCATGAGTTCCCCTTCTCCCTGTGAAAAAGTGATACTGTCTCAGATTCCCTTTGCCCACTTTGAAGTCTCTTGGGGGAGCCTCTGGGGCCCTGGCTGGCTGGCTGGGAGGGGGAGCCCAAGCAGGGTTCTCCCTCATGGTTTGCAGACCCTCTAAAGTGAAGGGTGGTTTTCTTAACTTTTTCTGTTTTTCTTTTTAAAATGTAATCGCCCTTGAATGCAAGACCCTGGGAAGAGCTGGGGCTTGCTGGTAACTGGACACATCCTCATGGTCCCGGCTTGCTGGCCGTCCAGGCTGGAGGTGGGCGCTGGCGGCCCTGTGCCCAGGAATGCTTCTTTGGCTGGTTCTGATTGTGTTTGGAGTTCGGCCTTGGGTGAGGCCCGAGTTAGGGGTCTGTGTGGCTACGGTGTGGCACGTGACATGCGGGCAGTGTGCATGCGAGGGTGCAGGCATGCGAGACGATATGGCAGCGGACAAAAATAATGAACCCTGGACGAAGCTTGAGAAGAGATACAAAGTACAGAAACCCGGTTCTCATACTAATCCCCGGGTTACAAACTAGGTTGTGCTGTAGATTTGTAGAAAATCACGTTTTGAAAGAATGGCACTGTTGGGCAGCTGCGGCTCCCAAGGCCGGCCTGACTCTGTCCACAGTCAGTGCCCAGAGGTGCAGGGCGGTGCTGGTTCCAGCTCACCTGGGACAGACCGAGGCTACCCCCGGGTCCCTGCCCTCCTCCCCCAGCACCAGGGGTGCTGGCTGGAGGGGACACGGCCAGAGAGGTGCTGCGGCTCAAAGGGCTGGCAGAGGCCCGGCTGCTCGGAATGACATGGCTGGTCTATGCCTCCTCCTCCCCTGCAGACACCATCAGCCGCATGGCCACTGGAAGGTGGTCAGTCAGGCCGGACAGCTGGGTGATAAAACTGAATTCTTCCACCTCCTGTTGGGGAAAAGCATTCCTTTTAGATCCAGAGGATATTCTACAAAGGAGGGGCCCAGAGGGCAGGAGTGGGGCTGTGGGGTAAGGGCTGGAACGGGCCAGGATCTTCCTGGAGACTGAGGGGTGGGAGCCTTACATGGAGCCTCAGGGTCTTTGGGACTGACCAGTCTGGTTTTCAGAGGAGAGCTCTGTGCTGTTGAGGGGTGCAGGGCAAGGGTCCCCTATCTAGAGGCGTGGCCTGGCTGCCCAGCTGCCCCAGACTCACGGCCTTCCAGTCCGGGCACAGCCCCTCTTCCGCATACAGCATGTAGTCGATGCGCCTGCCATTGCCCTTCAGCAGGTCCTTGCGTCCCTTCTGGCCTGCCCCAGGGCTCTTGCTGGTGGGGAAGGCCAGGTATTCCCTGCGGCCTTCCTCGCTCTCCAAGACCCTGCTCAACACACAGGAAGGCACAGGATGTGAGGTGAGCCCCTTTGCCCACTTCCCCAGGCCCCAGATCCTGAGTATAGAGCCACGTTCTCATCCCCAAGTGAGAGAGAAACAGGTCAGACCAAACCCTGTGTTTAAGATCTGTCTTCATGTGAGTATCCCTCCTGGGTGGAGGGATACTCAGTGTGAGCCTATGAATTCCTGGCTGAGCCATGCTGCTCCAGAGTCCATCCGGGAACGTCCTATGTCCACTTTGGGCATGGCTGTGGCTGAAGTTTGGACACAGCATCGCCCAGAACCTGGGGCTGAGACGGAAACAGGAGCAGAACAGGGCTTTGCTTGGAGCCAGTGGGGGGGGCCTGTTTCGGCAAAGAGTCTTCGCAGGGAACCTCAGGGACTCTTCTCTCCTAGAAGTCCCCAGACCTCCTGGGACGGTTGTTTCAGATCAGCAGGGGCCTGGGGGAGCCAGGAGATCATCCAGGCCCTATTCTGGGACTGGACTCCTGGGTCAGTCTGTCTCTGAGCGGCTGTGCCACATGAACTCTCCTCCGACACAGGGATGATCACTGTGGGCCCCAGGATATTTTGGGGACCAGGCATGCTGAGAAAGGAACTGTGTAGGGGGGCATCTATAGAAGAGCTTGTGACTCTTGATACTGAGATTGTGAGTTTGGGCCCCACATAGGGTGTAGAGATGACTTAGATCAATAAAACTAGAGAAAACAACAACATGAGGTGTGTCTGCCATCCCATTTCTTGGAGGAAAGAAACTGATGCTGGTGCGTAAGTGGCGGTCAAGGTTCTACAGGGTGTATAAAGTGCTCGGGTGGGGTGTAAACACCCTGAATCCAGGCCTTCTGACTTCCTGTCTACTGTTCCCTTCCGGCCAGGTTTTCTCCGGAGCCTGAGCCCCTGCTGTGGAGAGCCTTCACGGGACACTGGCAGAGGGCAGGTGCCGACGGACACTGCACAGGCCTGCTGGGCCGGCTGATGCCTGGACACATGGAAGGGGCGCCTGGACGTGCACAGCCAGCAAACATGGGTTTCTACAAGGTTTTTATCAGCCCTGAGATAAATACAGTAATGACATGCAGAACATCACTACATCTCAGAAATATAATCTATTACTGTCCTTTGCCTTTGATAATTCTAGCATCAGTGATCTAAGAGTTACTGATAGTCATTTTTTAATCAACTCATAAAAAGATAATTTTCTCAGCATAGTATGATGTTTCAAATTTAGTCTATAATCTAATTAATTGGCTCAAATTAGCTGTGAGGAGCCACCGCCCTGACTGTGCAGTCTGAGGCTGTGAGTTATAAATTGGTTCTGCCGCTGGCCTCTCAAATGTCCCTTTATGGAAGCCTCATCAGGTTCAAGTATGAAGTTCGGCTGGGATGGAACTGTCTCTACTTTGAGAACACTGGTTTGTGTTAGCTCCCCTCATATTTTAATTTGCCTAATTGGTGGCTACCAGCTGCCAGGATCCTACAACACAGGCCATCTCCCTAGGCCTTCCACAAGGGTCTCGGCATCCCTTGCCCTTGCCTGGGGAGATCCCTTCCAGGAAGGGCCTCAACAGGATGGCAGGCTGAGCTCTTCCAAAGTGAGCCTGGACTCTGGTGCTGATGTAGGAAATGCCACCTCGAGACCCTCATCCTGGTGGGAGGCTTCTTTGTGGGCACACAAGCTCCCCCCCTCCCCAGGGTGCGAGTCTCCACCTACCCCACCTTCAGTCTCTGAGACCCTCACAGGCTTCCTTCCCACGGAACTGTGTGCTCCGCTCTGCCCGGCACAATGCGGCTCCCCACACCAGAGTCGGGGCTCAGTGCTTTTCCCGGCCCCAGGAACCACCCTCCCCTCCATGACCATGGCAGTAAGGCTGCCAACTGCTTCTTACTTCTGCAGATTGTCAGGGGTGCAGACTTCCTCGTCGTAGAGGTTGTCTGTGTCCAGCATGGTACCTGGGAACAAGGAGGCAAGAGTGGTCACTGGGGGCAGGGCCCAGCCAGCCTCTAGGAGGGCTGCCTCCCTGGGGCAAGAGGCCTGAGTGAAGGCTTTGGGCCTGGGCAGTTGACTGGCCCTGCCCCTTGCAGTGGGGTCTTGGGGGCAGGGCCTGAAGTCCTCCTGGGAAGCCTGTGGAGAGCGCAATCTTGGTGTAGAGTCGGGCCTTGGCAGTACCCTCCCCCGTCCTCCCTTGGTGCCTCCACCCTCAACCTTCTGGCGCAGCCCCAGCTCACCGATGGCCCAGGACTTCTCCTCTCCGGGCCCCAGGCGGCAGGGGTCCTTGTAGTGTGTAAACAGGGAGTGCTGCTGCTCCAGCTTGTCATCTGTGCAGGGAGGGAGGGAGGCAGTGCTGTGGGGCACAGGGTGTCTGTCCTCGAGGGCTGCCTGTCTCTGCTTCTAGTCACCCTGACCAGATAGCACCAAGTCCCTTGGCTAACTGCCACTGGGTGCGCTCTGTGGTCTGTTTGTCACTGGTTTTCTGTGTCCTTGACAATGCCCCTCCACCCCCCACCCCCAGCACTGGGTTGAGCTATCTTCTGAGAACAGTGGTCGCTGTTCCTCCTGGGCTCCCTCGGGGTGATGCCCAAATGTGGCAGCAAACCCTGTAGGGGGCCAGCTGATGCTGCCCTGGCCGGCGGTCCTGCCCTCATGGACCTGGGTGCCCAGGTTGAGTGAGGAGTGACCATACGAGGCTGAGAGAGAGATAGGTGACCTGCCCTGGATTCCAGTTTGTCCGGCCAACTCATGGAGCCAGAAAGTGCCTGGGAGGAAAGACAAGTACCAGGTGGGGCCTGAGCAGGTGGAACCTTCTGGCAGCCTCTTCCTTTGTATGCTGCGTTCCCTCCCTGACGCAGGAAGATCCCAGGAGCACCGGCTTTTGAAGCTGGTCCCAGGCATTTGACTTAGAGGGAACCGTGGGCTAGGATCGGGGGCTGTGCCTTCCGTGGCAGACACTGTTCTCCCTACTCACCATTGTCAGAGGTCGATTTCTGGGTCATGAACCAACAGAAACAGCGGCCACCAGGTAAGGGCACCGCACTGCGCTCCAGGTGGGACCTTCAGGTCTCCTGCCTTCCCTGAGGGCTAAGCCTGAGCTCACAGACCCCATGTCGCTCATGGGGTGAAACTCTGTAGTTTCTCCTGGGCTGGGGCTGGTGTGGAAGGAGCGCAGGAGCCAGTGGGTGGGTGGGGGGTGGGGTGGGAGTTGGTGTTGCTCCCATCAGCTCCACTGGCAGGGAGAAGCTCAGAGCTGCACAAACTCCCAGGAGGCCCCTGAGATCCACGTGATCACCAGATTAGTTATTTAAGTCAATTATTTAAAAGATTGCCCATGATTAGTTTTTAGTTTTTTAACCTAATGGTTAAAAGCATAATGACCAGGGTTCAAATCCCAGTTCAACCACTTCCTGGCTCTGTGACCTTGGACTAGTTACTGGGCCTGTCTGGGTCTCTGCTTCCTCTCCCACCCTTGTAGATCAACACCGTGCTCACCGTCAGGGTAGTTCTGAGATTTAAATGAAACAGCCGTTAGAGGTTAGAATAGTGCCTGGTGCAGAGCAAGAGATGACTGAGGACCTGGTGGGTAGTGTTAGCTGACTCGCCTATAGTCTGAGTTTCAGAGGCCCCGAGGCTTCTTTGTCAGAGTTCATTTTTAGGGCATCTCTTTGTCTCCTGTAAGGAGGCCTCTGCGCTTTCTAGGCAGAGCGTGGGCTCTTCTCATTTTAGGATTTCTAGGGGGCAGAGAAATCACAGTCTTGCTAATATCTCACCCACATGCTCCCGAGGAGCAGGAAGTTCTTCAAGCTGCAAAACCCAAGCCTTTCCCGCTGTGCCTGGAGCCCATGCCCTCCCCAGGAGCTGACCCGACTGGGGAGGACCACCACCTCACCTGAGGAGCAGTTGTCAAAATTAAAATCTCCACAGATGACATCAAACGCCACCAGCTCCTCGGGGTTGGCTGTGCTGGACGAGGAGGTAGATTTTCGGAAATCAGCCAGCCAGTCCTGAAGCAGGTCCAGCTGCTCACACCGGATGGCACTGTCCTCTGTGGGGCAGAACCGGAGAGATGAGATGGCGGAGCTGCAGTGAGACCCCCGCCAGGCCGGGGTGCCAACCCCAGCCTGTGGGGGGCTGATGGCCCACCCCCCTGGAAAGCCTGGGCCGCCAGATCCTACCTGGCAGGGCGTGCAGGTGTGTGCAGGAAATGTACCCGACAATTCTTTGGTCCTGAGGTGTGCTTCCCACCTGCACCTGTTGGGGAGGGAGGGAGGTATTGATGATGAAGTCGACATTATCCTGAGTACAAGCCCATTTCTGTCCGCTCCTGGCTACGCTTGGGCCCAGGTAGGAACAGCAAGGTCATGCATCCAGGAGCTTCTGGTCTAGTGTGGAAGGCAGATGTATCAAGAAATACCAGCTTCTGGCATGGTAAGTGCCACTAGTAAATCATGCAAGCATTATAGGAGGAAAAATGTAGAAATCCCCGCTGATTTCCTCCTTATAACCTGGCCGTCTCCTGGTGACCAGAGTGTCCATGTGGATGACCCTCACATGCCAGCCCCTCAGTTCCTTGCCCACTCCTGTCTGATGGCTGTTCTCCCTTCCCTTAGCCACAGCCTAGACCTCATCCCACCCTGGAGCCCATTCCTCCAAAGTCTAAGCCAGACTCCCCTTTGGGAGCAGCCCAGCCACAGAGCCTGACACCCTTCCTGACACTGAGAGGGCCCTGCCCTTCGCTCTCTCCCCAGCCTCTGCCCCTGTGGCTCCACGAGAAGCCACTTCATCTGCTTCTGGGCAGTGGTTCCTGTTGGTTTCCTGATCTGAGATGACAGCTATGGCCTCCATCTCCTTGGCACCTGTCATGCGGTGACCTCATGGGTGGGCAGTGTGTGTGTGGGGGGGGTCCTCTGAGACTCTGTGCTCAAGTGCTGATGATCCTGGTGGGGTGTCTCCACAGGCTGGTGTAACGACATCACAGACCACCCGAAACACCCCCCAGTGGTGACCCCTTCAAGCCTGAGCCAATGCGGCTGTGGTTGTGGAGTTAGGTGATGCTGCCTGGCCGGCTGCTCTCCAGGCCTCTGATCCCGGCACAGCTGCTGGAAGCTGCGATAGGAGATTCCCACCCTGCTCCCCACCAGCGGTGTCCCTTAGATCATCTGTGGCTGCCATTCCCCAGAGGTCTCTCTCTCTCTCTCTGGGCTTTCCTCCCATCTGAACCTCAGCAGTCTTCCCCAAACTTCTTTAATCCATTCCAGAATGGGTTTTCTATGATAATGAGATCCTGGACTCTGGGAACTGTCCAGGGAAGGTGACTGTAGAGGCCAGTTTGTAGCTAAGGGATATCTATCTGCTGAACGTGACTCTGCTCATCCCCCAGCTAAAAGTGGTCTGGACTCGCCAACCCTGCCACATCACGGGCCCTCCAATCTGAGAGCCTGGGGAGGCTTCCATCTTTGTTTTTGCTGCCAAAGTCAGGTAGGCATTATTCTCCTCCATATGGGTTTTCACATCATTAGGCATTCTTAGCCTTCTATAGCTCTTCAGCTCCTTTCCCAGCCTGGATGGATGCACATCTCTCCTTCCCCAACACCCAGCAGGATGAACATCTGGTTACTTGAAAATGGGCAGTACAGCCTGAATTGGGGGCTGTTTATAAAGTCCCATGTTTACCATTCACTTCTGGCCCACGGTCTAGACCCAAACCTCGGCCTTTCAGTACCACCACCACCCCCAGCCCCGCAATGTCTTGGGAAATCACATACCATTCGTGTGCACTGTTGCAAAAACACAACACGGTCTTTTAAAAAAAAACAAAAAAATAAAAAACACTGTGCCCCCAATGGCCACACGATGGCGCTCTTGCCCCTTGTATTCCTGGGGCAATGCATCTGTTCCCCCGAAATAATATGCTGTGAGCACTAGGGCATGGAGCTTCATGGACCCTGCCTAGCTAGAGCCTTACAACAGGTCAGAGGGTTATGCTACAGTTATACTAGAATTGGCTCGGGGTTACGAGGCTCTTTTGGCCGAGGCCGGTTCACATCAGATGTTTGCTGCCCTCAGCCCAGCTCCCCACCCTACTCTCTGCTGCTTCAACTCTTGGTGACTTGGCAGGCTTTTCACCCATTCTAGGGTCTTAGTGCTTCAGCCCCTCACTCACTCAGCACTTGGTGTCACCTGCCTGTGCTGAGACCTGCACAAGGATAGGTGAGGTGCACCACTCAACACCCCCCCCACACACACACCGCCTTCAAGAGTACAGCGGGAGGGAGGGAAGACACAGCCACAAGGACCCAGCTACCCAGCCGCATCCAGCCCATGTCTCAGACCCTCTGGTGACTTCCCTGCTCTCTGTCATCCCCATTAGCCCTGTGAGCTGCCAGGACCTACTTCCCTACGTGCTTGAACTGATTGATTCTGCTCTGGCTCGAGTCCTTGGGAATTGCAGAGGTTTGTGTTTCTCTTGGAAAAACAATCACACTGAGAGGCTGTGCCTTTTAGTCGTGGTGGGCAAAGACGTCAACAGAGAAGGGGCCCAGAATGAGGCTTTCCCCCACGTGAGGAACAGCCAGGGGTTCCAGTCCCTTCTCAGGTTGCGACAGTATTAGGAAAGCACGTTGTCCTCAGGCACAGACCTTCCGCAGAGTGGGTGGCGGGGGGAGAAGGGATGCAGATGAAGGGAGCACTAGTCTCCACCTGCAGCCTTCCAGCCCCCAGCCCCTGCCTATCTCCTGAATTCTCATTTATTTCACTCCTCCAGGCAGGAGAAACAGGCACGCTTTCCCCAGCAGATGGGCTGGGTCTGCTGTGTACAGGGCTCAAATGGCGCATTCTCCTTTCTGTCTGACAGAGAAACAGGCAGCAGGAGGGCTGGGGAGGAGGGCTGAGGGTCCCACAGAGGGAAAGCTGGCTCTTGCTGGCCGTGCTGTGGACAGCTTCACAGAGGTGGCGTGGCCAAGCCAGGGTGGGACCGGGCCACAGGGAGCCAGGCACAGAGGCCCCTGGGGGAGTGGGATGCAGGAGCAGAGTCCCCCAGCACTGAAGGCTGGGCTTCTCCCTGACACAGCAGGAAGTGGGCAGCAGGAGTCAGACCCAGGATAGCACTGGAGGAGAATGGAGTTGGGAGGGGAAGGAGAGCCCCAAACAAAGGCAGATGCAGAGTAATGTGGCCTGGGCCATGACAGTGCAGCCGGGGGTGAGGGGTGGACCAAGACGTATTTGAAAAGTGAAATTAGGAGCCTGGATGGAGGAGAGGGGCTTTAGGGCACAGGGAGGAGTCAAAGCGGGCATGGTGGAACCTGGCTGATGGAGATGGGCAGATAATAAGTGAAAGAGGACGGTGTCCAGGAGGCAGCCGGACACGGGGTTGGGGGCTCAGGGGAGAGGTGTGGGCTGGGACAAACACAAGAGCCCTCAAGCAGGTGTGGAAATAGAGTCTGTGGAGTGACTTCCCCAGACAGGTGCGGGGGGGCGGGTGCTGGCATGGTGACCACTTGGAAATGAAGAGGCCTACCCAAGTGAGGTCAGGTCGCCCTGCTGTGGGGGCTGCCAACCCTCAGCTCAGGCTGAGAGCCGGACAGGTGGGAGGAGGCCTGCCAGGTGCTGTCAGATCTGCGAGGTGGGACAGAAATTGCAAACTAGATTTTAGGTGGAATATCTTGATTTTTAAATGTTGGCCAACAAAGGAAACTTGTTAATGCTGTGGACCAAATCAGACATAGCTGCAGACCAGTTTTAAGCGAAGGAGCAGAGGAAGCATCAGAAGTTCAAGGCTGGGCAGGGGACCAGGAGCCTGGAAGGAATGGCCAGAGAGGTGAGAAGAATGTCAGCAGCAGAGAGGCCATCCCAAGAAGACTGTCATGACCCTGGTGGACATGGTGGTCGGGGGAGCCAGACTAAGGAGGGGGGGGGGGGTGTGGGCTGGGGGCAGAGCCAAGGGGGTCCCCAGCTTCTGAACCATCTGTGGCAGAGCAGGTGGGAGAGAGAGGGTACACTCTTCTCTTGAGCTTGACAACATGTCCCCTCCTTCCCCCAGAAAGTCACTCCAGCTGCTGAGACAAAAATATATCCGAGGAACAGAACATTGATGAACCATATGCCAAAATGGGGAGGTAAGAGGAGTTCATTCAATTTCAGCATCTCAGGCTGTGAGAGAAGAGTCAAGGACCCCGAACTGTGGGCCTACAGAGCTGCATAAGAACCACTGAGTACTCCGGTGTGGGGTCTGGGTCCTGTAGCATCTGGCCAAATGTTGCTTCCCAAAACTCTGGAAACGCCGAGAATGGCTTTTGCGTAGGGAACAAAAAGTCAACACTCGGAGCGTGTCAGGCTCAGTAGAAGATAACGGGTAATGACCAAATTACCATGGTCTAAAAACTCCTGCAATTGCATCCAAATTAGCAGAAATAATTATGATTCACTTTAATTAGTAACTATGGAAGCGAAGCCTTGGGCTGGTGGGCAGAGGGCCTGGCATGGCAGCTGCGCGAGAGCCGGGAGGGAGGGAGCACCCAGCCAGTGAGGCTGCGGGCCTAAGTGAGCGGGCGTTTGCCCCTTTGTGGACAGGGGCCCCCTTCCGCCGCCTCCTCCCTTGATCACTGCCATCTTCACTGCTGGCACCACAAGGACCTCCCAGGCCTCAAGCTCACTCCCTGCCCCATGAATTGGCACTAGGTTTCTTACAAATGAGGAGATAATGGCTCAGAGACCTGAGGAACTTGCCCAAGAGCACCTGCCCAGGCCTCTCTGAGACTGAACCCTCGGCCCTTGTCACCAAGCTGGGCGCCCACTAGCTCAGCTCCAGGAGAAGCCTGGCCTGCCCCCAGCCTTCCCAGAGTGGAAGGACCCCCTGACTGCAGCCCACTGTTCCCCCCCTCCCCGACCAAGGCTCTGCTACAGGCTGTTGTGTTCCCCGGGGCATGGCCACAGCCTCCTACCTTGAGAAACAGCGCCCCTTTCGAGGCCAGGCCATCGGAGCGCCGCCCGTTGGGGTAACAGTGATAGGCCACGTCCATGATAGGGTAGCGGCTGGCAAAGAAGAGGCCGCTGTTGAGACACTTGAAGCTGCAGCAGCCTTGGCAGCCATAGACCCCGACGTCGTACAGAATGTACTCGAAGTAGCCGTGCAGCTGGTCTTTCAACTTGGCGGCTGCCCGCTTGTCAAACACCTCCTGCAGACACAGGAAGTCCAGGTTGGCGGGGAAGAAAGCGGACACCTCGTGGTCAAAGGCCTCGTCCGGGTGCCGCCTCTTGCGCGCAGCCGCCTTCTTCACCCCGGAGGCCTTGTAGGGGAGCTTGCTGTTGGTGGCGCCCGGCTCCCCACTGCCGCCGCCATCCGCCGCGGCCCGCACCTTCACCAGGGACTCCCTGGAGGCCGATGGGCTGCCCAGGCTCCCCGAGTCCCCGTCCCGCTGACTGTGGTTGGGTGTCTGGCCCTGGGGGGCCCCACCAGCCCCATTCCTGGCTTGGCCCCCAGCAGCGCTGTCGTCGGCTTCAGGGGGCCGGCCCCCCTCCTCGCCTCCGATGCGCACGATGCAGGCGTCCTCCAGGCTACCCTCCGCAGGCTCCCCGGAGGCCGGGCCATTGGCAGCTTCGTCACTGGGATGACGCCCGCTGCCGTCACCCTTGTATTCCACAGAGGCCGTCCTCTTAATGCTTCCGGGGACGGCCTTGGCCACACCATCACTGCCCTGCGGTGACACCAGGCTGCTGAAGCTGGCCGCACTGATGGAGGTGTTGGTGGGCGAATCAATGTAGATTTTGATCTGGGGCCGACTGGCCCCGTTGCGGATTCTCTGCCCGATCTCTTTGGCCCGCGCTTGGGTGTTAAAAACATTGTTGAGCCTGGCCAGCGAGTCAGGGAGGAGGCAGAGGTTGGCAGTGGTAAAGCAGAAGCTTTTGCCGGGACCTGTACCCTTCCATTCACTGAGCAGGGCCGCCCCACCAGCCAGGCCCTTGTCCTCTAGCCGGGAGTAGATGTAGGGTCGGCGGGCGGACTGCAGTGGGGACCAGAGGAGGAACCCGACGAAGGCGAAGGGCAGCGAGGCAACCAGGAGGGCCAGGTAGACGGGCGTGAAGAGCACAGTGCAGAGCAGCTGGAGGTAGCACGGGTCGTCCGCCCGCTGGCGCTTCTCGTAGGTGGTGGGGATGAAGGAGGCCACCAGCCGGTCTGCCAGCCAGTAGCATGGGAAGATGAGCGCCCAGGACACGGCATGCAGGGCGGACAGACAGCTATTGGGAAAGGGGGCCGTGTACAAAACCATCGCAGCTCACTGGGCGCCGCGGCCGGCCCTACTACATGGTGTCCGTGGCAGCGCGGGCACTTTCTTGCGAGGGGTGGGGTGGGGGAGCAGGTGGAGGAGGGGTCACCTCCTGGTGAGATGCGTCTCTGGGTGGTCAGTGGTGAGTGTTGGCCAGCCAGGCATGATTCACCTCAGTGCGCCATACTGGGCCACCAAGGCCCGCCGGGGAGCCTGTAAGACAGAAAATAAGGGGCTTTACTCATCCTTAGGGGAGCAGGTCAGATGCTGGGGTCACTCGCTCCCTCACCCTGTTCCCGCTTCCTCCATCAGAAGGAGGAGTCTTCTGTTTGCCTGTGTGTGTTTGGTTTCCTTAGAGTAAACAGTTTGGTGACGTGACATGACCACATCTGTCTTGATCTTGTAGCCTAACTGCTCAGAAATAGACCCCAGATTTTGGAGGGGCCTAGCTTTGTGGGCATTTGGGAGGCAGCCTGGGGATCCTGGAGAGTGGCTGGGCCTGACGCTGGCCTGGAGCAGCCAGAAGCCCACCAGGAGCCAGGGGTGTGCCTGGAATGGGTAAGGGGTGACCCTGATTCAGAGGAGCCTCAAATACACCTGCTTGTCACTGAGTGTCCTTCAGGCCAGAACAGAGGGGGAGCAAACAGCAGAGACATGGGGTCAGAGAGTCCTGGGGTGCAGGGCAGTGTCGCTGGCAGGAGGACCCCTGAGAGGAGGGCTCCACCCACAACCGGGCTCTCACAGTACCCATCCTGCAGCATCAGCCCACTCGTGCCCTCCCGCCCCTGCTGACCCCCACCGGAAATCTCTGACCAGCCAGGATCCTGGCACTGCCTGGGCCTTAACCCACGTCCAGAATGATGGTCCCTCTGACTTTTGGAGAAGCATCCTGGAGCTGTGAGAATCTGGCCCAAGCTTCTCCCCTAAGCCTGAGATGCAGCCTGGGGCCCAGCTAAGGCCCATGGCTGGAGGAATGAGTCCACCCTGGGTTCCTGTCCCAGCCAGGGCATGAGCCTCAGACCAGGCCTTAGGGCACTGCCTAGCAGAGGCTGCCAGCGGATTACTGTGCTGAACGTAGAATTAAGAAAGGCCAAGAGTCTGGAGTGTTGGCCCAGCCTCCAGGGACCCATGGGAGATCATTGTGTGGTGAAGCTGGTATAACCAACATCTTGAGTCTTCATTACCCAGTCTGTTGGGGGTTCACTTCCTATTCACTGTCTCCCCGACCCAGTCCAGCCTCTGCCCTGGTGCCATGGAGGGTGGGGGTCTGTGCCCACGTTCCATCCATCCTGGCCCACCGCTTGTCTTCCTCCTGCCTCCCTGGGCACTGAAGCTAGGACCTGGGTACCATTTGGGTTTTGCCTCCCCCCCAGTCCCCACATCACATCTGTCCCTCTCCTGGAGCTCCTGTGCTGGTCCACGAGTGCATGATGCTTCAAGTACTATCTTGGCTGCGTCTCTCTCAGGCCAAGTTCCACAGAGTGGCTGGGGGGATTCTGTCTAGTCTGACCATCCCTCAGATACCCCAAACCTGCAGAACCCTCTGTGGGCCCTTTTTTGGCTGTCTTGTGTCCTAACCAGGCCTGCCATGTCTCCCTTGTGCCCAGATCCCACTTGGTGGAATGTGGTTTCCTGTCCCTGCCCTGCCCCTCACTTAGCTCACCCCTTTTCTTCTAGACCAGCTCAGAAATCACCTCCTCAGAGAGACCCTTTTGCCCCCTTTGCCTCTCCTTGCCAGCTGGCTTAGGTAGCTCCCTGGGGGGCTCCTGTCTGCATTGTGCATGGCCTGGTCTCTGCAGTTCCAGGTCATAAAGCTCATGGGTCACAGCCACCTCCCCAGCAGCCTGGGAGCTTCCTGGAAGAAGGGGCTGCATTGAGAGGCCTGGCGGGTCCTGGGGCCGCACCAGCAGGAGCTCAGGAAGTGGGTGGGTGACTGGAGGTCAGTCTGCACTGCCTCCAGGCCTGAGGTGCAAGGAGGGGGTGGGGTGGGGTCTCCGGGATGCACCTGTCACTTCAGTGCACTCCCATGGCCACATCTCCAGGGCTGATTTAGTGGGGACAAGGTACTTGTTCCAGACCAGAGCTTAACATCTAAAGATGAACTTTAGCTGGTGTCTGTGTCTGATTCTGGAGAATACATTTCACAAGAATTTTACTTTCTTTAGGGGAAATTGCTTTGAAAGAAACCCTGTAAGTTTAATTTGGGGAAGCAGGTGTGTCTAGTCAGACCACAGCTCTCTGGCCAGGAGCCATGGGAAACTGTTGCTTTGTAGAGAGCTCACACTGCGCCTCGGTTGAATCTGGGAAAAGCGTGTCGTCCGCCTGTGGGCAGTGGGACCACGTTCGTCTGGTGCTGTAGTCACAAGGCCTCTCATTCAGGTGTGGGCAATGAGGCTCACGTTCAAGGATGGTGGTGAGGCCAGAGGGCCAGCCCTCCATCCCTCTCCCCGTCCCCCTGGGGCAGGGGTTGGGGAAGCTGTTTCAGAGGTTGGGAGGAAGCCCCTGACATCCTGCCCTGGAGTCCCAGACCAGACAGTGGCCTTCACCACCCTCTCCAAACTGGGCCCGAGTCCTGGTCTTCAAAGGCCAGGCTCCATGGGGGGAGGCAGGTGCCCTAACCTTGACAGCCTTTACTGTAGGGTCTGCCGATTCAGAGGTCCTGTGAACTGAGGCCCGAGACTAATGTTATGATGACAGTGGCTAACACTGGAGGGTTTGTTCTAGGCCTGCTGACCCTCTATGCGCATGACTTCTAACCCCCCAGAAGAGTTGTAGCAACTCTGTGGCCCAGAGCTCGTGGCTCAGTACTTAGAGGGGCTGTGGCTGTCCAGAGCTCTCCCGTGCCTGCCACCTGACAGACTTACTTATTCTTTCTTTAAAATCTGAGCCGTGTCATTTGAGTGTAACGCGAAGCTGGGGCAGCAGCCCGCTGGCTCCCTTGGAGCTGGTGGGTTTGGCTGCCGTCGGCCCGGCTTGCACGCACCATGTTTGTGTTCGGAGCGGGCAGCTTCAGACTGGCCAGGCTGAGAGCCGGGGGAGAGGGAGCAGGTCCACCTCCACCAACCGGACCTGGAGGAGGCAGCAGGTCCTGTCCCTGCAGGTACGGAGGGTGGGGTGGCGTCTCCCAAGCCTCCAGCAGCCGCTGCAGTGGGCACCAAGGCGCTAGGGGTGGGGGTCTAGGCCAGACTTCTGGGGACACCCAGATGCCACCCCCAAGTGCATGGAGGGGGCCCACTCCCAGGTCTTCTTAGCTCTTTCCTCCTGTTCTCTGTGGCCGGAGGTGACCCACCCAGCCCAGCCCACACCATCTTCTGTCTTCTGAGTGCCCACCTCTCATCTTCTGAGTGCCCACCCCGTCTTCTGTCTCAGGCTCCAGCCACAATGTGCAGAGGTCAGAAAAGCTCCCTAAACAATCTGATTACATCCTCCCTCTGGAGGTCCCATGGTCTTGGAGGAGAAAGTCCATTCTCCCGGTCTCTGTCTAAGGGCCCTCGGTGCTCCTGCCCCTCCTTCCTTCCCCAGCCCCACCCCGGAGGGCCCCCTAGCAGCCTTGCTTCATCCAGGGGCTCCTGAGAGAAATTCTCAAACCCTCTGTTCCCCCCTGTGGCTCATCCCTAATGCTGGCTACTGACCGGGCAGGGTAGAGACCTGCTGCCAGCTGGGACCATGCTCTTAGTGAGGCCTGGCCCCGTCCTGAGCTGCCCTGTGTTGACCTCAATTCTGTTGTGGCCCCAGAAACCCTTCTGGGCAAGATCCCCCCGAGCCCTGCCTGCAGCAGCAGTGAGCCGCCAGGCCTGTTCTTTGTGCCTCTCCTGGGCTGGTCACAGGAATGCGTTTGGTCTCCAATCAGGCATCAGTGGGTTTGAGGTGGCTGGCAGCCCAGGGGGCCACCACAAGCATTCTGTCCTCGATGGGGCAGATCTGAGCCGCCCAGCTCTTCATGGCTACCTGGGTCCCTGCTCCAGCCTGCCCCCTGCCCCCCAGCTCTCAGCACCCTGGACAGAACGAGCCTCCGGGTGCCGCCTGCCCCGCCCTGCTCAGCACACAAGCCCTGCATCTGTGCCCCGGGGGCTGCTGACGCAGTTGACACAAAAGGGATTGCTACCAATGGAGGCAGTTTCTAAAGCTCTGTGGTTAATTATTTTGTCTCAGTGAGATGAAAGGAGGATAAACAAACAACAACACATTAATTAGTCTGATCTACACTTTCCCCAGTAAAGAGGGGAGTGGGAGCTAAACACCAGAGGCTAGGAACTTCTCACTAAGCCTTAGAGTCCCGGGGCTGGGGGCGTGGTTTGCACCCCTGGGCCTTTGTCTCGCCTGCACCCCCTCAGCAGGGCAGAACATGGTGGGTGGCCTGGCCCAGGCTCGGCCTCCAGGTGAGGACTGCCTGCCCCCGCCCCCCATACCCCAGCTCTTCGCTCCCTGTCCTAGAGCCGCCATCTTTACTGAGCAAAGTCCACCACCGGCATCTCTGATGAGGGTGACAGGTCCGACAAAGGCCGCATGTGCTGAGCGGTAGCCACTCAAGCCCATATGCTGGATTGTGCTTTCAGTTTCCTCTTTTTAAAGTAGTAATTACTCCTGGGTTTCTCCCCATTATAAATCCTGGCGTGGGGCTTCCTGGTTGCTCAGAATGCCCGAGCCTCCTCCCTGCCCCAATGCCATGGTCTCCAGAGCTGAGCTTGGGTCCCAGACACCCTCAGGTCCTCATGGTCACTCCTGAGCCCTAGGATCAGTATGGGGGGGCTACCTAGTACCCCAAGGGAGGGCTCCTGGGAGTCAACCTCAGGCTTGCTCCTCACTCCCAACGGCACTGCTCACTGCTCAGTTTGGGTTCGGATCTTGCGCTCTCTGACATGAGGGTAGCAATACCTGGGCTCATCGTGAGGCTTTATCCGTCCCTAGCTCCCCTCTGTTCCTCGTAGGACCTCCCTGACCACGCCTCAGCTGAGGTTGGCTTCTGTGGACTCCGTGCGTTGTGGAGAGGGGACAAGCTGGTT